ATTCTTCATCTCTTCATCTGAATCTGCTGGACTATTACTGAGCTGCTCTATTCCAGATCTTATAAGATACTTCTTTAATCTGCTTTCTGCAATAGATTCTTTAATTTCAGTGCTGTCTAACTCTTCAAGATAATAGAAACCTAGTTCTTGATTGGCAGACTTAACCCTATAGAGTTCTAGCCATCAAAAGCAAAGAATATTGTTTCTAGACATATTCTGTTCTTTTTTGATATTTTGAAGCAAGACAAGATCTCTGGGTTGAAGAGAATTAGTCTGAATATTATGGATATCATCAAAGTATTTCTTATTCTTAGCACACATTTGGAGCTAATGATGTGCTGCTTTCAGAACATTCTCATCTCATCATTCAATTTGGTGTGCATGTATCAGAAGAAGATCTTCAGTCATTCAGATATTTCATTATAGAATTATTTGTCAAGTGGAAATCTCAAGTTTAACTGGAAGAACTGCCTCCTGGCCCATTAGCAATCTATAAGAGAAGATACCAGTACTAGTCTTAGTCATCATTCAATCCACCATCAGAATTACAGAAAGATGTTTAATTCAATTTCTTTCAGTATTATTGATGGCTTTAGCTAATCCATCAGTCAAAGACTTATGACCAACTTTCACCATACTATTCACAAAAGAATTATAGGGCAAAATAACAATGCATTTGATGTTGAATTTCTTCAGTAAGATCTCCACAACATTCTTATTCTCTGGTCCTTCATCCATAACAAATTTGGCAGGCAGGCCCCATTAACAGATGATATTCTTATAAAGAAATTTGGCCACAGCTTCAGCTATTGCCTTCTTTAATACTCTAGCTTCCACCCATTCAGTGAAGTTACATCTTGCAACAACCAAATAATTTTGTCCTCAACAGGAAGACATATGTTTAATATTTATTTCAACTTTCTTCCAACAGGTAGAAGTTCAGATAGAATGAAGCTCTTCACTTAATCTTTGCAAATCTCTTTGTTAACATTGAGAACAGTGCTTCATATAACCAGACACATCTTTATACATTCCTGACCACCAGTATCAAGCTTGTAAGATAGAGTATGTTCCCTCTCACTCTTTATGATCAAATTTGTTGTGCATCATGTGTAAAATTTGTTCACATTGTTCTTTATTGTCCACAACATGTCTTAAAGATACATCAGATCTTACTTGTCTAAATAGTTAATCAGCCTCCATCACATATTTAATTGCTTTCTTTCAGAATCTCATGTACTCTTTTCCTTCCATGCCCAATGGTTTTGATAGGGTAGTTAGATATTATGCAATTTTCTCCAATTCTTCTAAATATGTGGAGTCCAGTATTCTAAGATCTTCACTATTGAGAGCTCAGCTAGCTAAAACTCTTATAGAATCTATAAAGGTAAACAGATCTTCATCTTCTTCAGATTCAGGTTGTTCTCTAGTATCTAGTTCTCAGCAAGACAGTCCATCAGCAGCTGTATGTTTTATCCCAGGAACATGTTTAACAGTAAAGTCAAAAAGACATATTCAAGCTATTCAATTAGTAATTAAAGCTTCTGAAATATCTGTAGCAGTTCTATTAAGTTAGGTGACAAGAGTTTTTGCATCAATTTCCAAGATAAAGGGTACTCCATAGATATAGTGTTGGAATTTCTTAAAGACTTTCAAAACAGCTCTGCATTCTCATTTGCCAGAATTATATGTTTTCTCTGAATCATTCCATATTCTGGATTTGTATCATGCAGAATGTCAAGCCTCTTGTTGCTCCTGAATAATGCATTCTCTCTATTCTAATCCACTGGCATCAACAGCCACAGTGATAAGCAAAGGATCTTGTCCATAATTGATTGGAAGAATGATAAGGAATGAATATAACTTTTCCTTCAAAAGCATAAAGATGTTATTTTACTCTTCAGTCCATGACCATATAATATTTTGTTGAAGCAGATAATGTAAAGGTTCAGTTATCCAACTGTAATGCTTTATGAGTATTCAGAAATATCCAGCAAGCTCTAGAAATTCTTGTAATTCTGTAATACTTGTAGAAGTAGGCCAATTTGCAATTTTAGCCATCTTAGTTTCCTCAGATTATCATCCATTATAGTTGCAGATCCATCCAACAACATTAACTTCAGACATGCAGAATTGAGATTTGGTGCCAGAGATTCTAGCTTCAGAGATTTCAACAAGTCATAGAATATAGTTCAGGTTCTGCAGATAATCATAAATAAATCTTCTTATTTCTGGAAGAACTTCAGTTTTATTTTTGACACATGATCTCTTTACTCCAAGATCATCCATAAAGACTCAAGCAATCTCTGGAAAAACTTCTCATATAATCTTCATTATTCTGTATTGGGCTTGAGCTGGCAAATTCATTGCCCCTTGAACTAAAGTTGTATGGCAAAAAAGCCCAATAGAAGTTGCAATAGCTGTCATATTCCTACTCTCTTCAGCTAATGAAAAATTATTGTATTCAGAGAACAAGTCATATAGACTAGCTATAACAAGTCTGCTGAAGTCTTCAGCATATTTGTCAACATTAGAAGAAATAAAAGCATCTTGAATAGTAACTTTGTTATACATATGTGCTGCATTAACTAAATAATATTCACCTTTCTCTTTCTTTGTGACCAGAAAATAGAGGTTGGTATATAAATCATGGCAAGACTCTAATATTTTAGCTTCTAACCTGTCTTGAATAATTTTAATTAGCTTATCATGTAGAGCATGAGAAATTTGGTAAGTCTTAGTCTGTCAAGCTTCATGAGACTCTGTCTTAATAATCTGTGGAGGCAAGTATTCAGAATGAATGCCATATAGATCTTTGAATAACCATGCCAATGCCCCTTCATGTTTATAAAGAACTGATATAAAAATTTCCTTCTTCTGACTTGTTAGTTCAAATCCAATTTTGAGCTTCTCAATTCTCTCATTTGTTAGCCATTCTCCAACAGGAAAAGATGTAATTCTAAATCTAATATGGTCATCAAATTTACAATTAAACACAACACATTTCTTCTCAGAATAATACTTATTCAAACAAACATCCACTTAATTATTTAGGTCTTCTGGTTTGCTTCCATCAGATTTTCCAGGTGCTAATAGCCTTATCTTATCAGCTTTTCACTTATAAGCAGTGCACACTCTTCAGACTTCTGAAGAAGGCAGCCTGATGTTCAAGCCACTATTAAAAATGTTAACTTGACACAATTTCTTCATGACAAAATTGTGATTTTTGTTCAGAGATGTGTAAATTGATCAAGCACTTTGTGAAATAGGTTTTTGAATTAAGCTGGAATTAATATTGTGTGTGTAATGTTCACAGTGAGCTGTAACACTGTCTGAATCAGGAAGTGAAGAACAGAAAATCCAAACTTTCAATGCAAAATTATTCTTGTTCTCTGATTGATTCATTTGATTCATCAGTGTGCTGGTCAATCCAATTAGACTTAGCACACTTTTGAATTCACCATCACCAGAACTATGTTTCTTCTTATTACTGTAGTCACCAATGCTGGTACTGCTGCCAATACTTCCAACTTCTCTATTCTTTTCAACCTCCTGACCTTCAACCTTCTCATTATTAATTCTTATACCCATTGTCTTTGTCACATTTTCTTTATTCTCATCAGGTCTTGTATCTACAGGCACCTGCCTGATTAAATACCTGTTGAATTGTTTAAATGATTGCTGTTCAATTTATCAGTTGCATATCTCATGTTGCTTAAGCTTGGCTTAAAGCCTTCAAAAACTAGATAATATATTCATTTCTTGTTATAAATTTCACAGTTCACTTCTCTGTTATCTGAGGTGTTACATTCCCAACAGACAGCAAATTGTCAAGATCTTCCAAGAATAAGTTGCTGATCCTCTTCCTTGAATATAAGAAAAGGAGTATAGGTAATAATATCTCTGATCTGAACAGGCACTTTGTCACAAAACATATAAAAAGGAGTAACTTCTTCTGTTTGAACAATCATGGTCACTTGCAGCTTATTTTTCATCAGCAGATTCAACATTTCAGTATACTTCTGAGACAATAAATTGATTTCTGAACCAGTATTGATCAATGCCATTAATTCTTGTTGATTTATAGTGACTGGTGCATATAATGAACATATTCCATATGCTGTTTTGGATTTTGGTATTATGAGCTTTAATGTAAGTTGACTGGAATTGATCTTTAGCTCAGGCTGAACCAGTTCAGAGACTCCAACCTTTGCATGGCTTTTGCTAGTACTGTTATTCCAATCTGATCTGAAGAATGCTTGATAAAGCTTCAGCAATACATCTATAAGCTTCTTAACTGACACTTTGACCTTCTCATTGAGAATTTGACCCATTAATTCATTGGCATCTGTTGAATCACAGATCTGAGAGAATAAATAATCTGTTACAGAATATCTTGATCTTTATTTCTCCATGATCTTGTTCTGAATTTCAGGCTTCTTCTGATTGATTGGTTCAACATCTTTCATGATATTGTTATTAACACTAGCTTGATTATTCTGGTAGATAATAAATTGTCCAGTATGCTGAGTATAAGATGTTGCAATCTTAGCTTTTTGACTGTTCTTAGCTTCTCCAACAGTTTCAACATTAACTGATATTTTTTCTTCCAGTGGTTCATATTTCTTATCTGAATCAGATTCTCCATCAGACATTAGATATGCAAGTTGTCCTGCTTGAATCTTCACACTGGTTGAATTTACTGGAGGTGTCTCTTCTTGCTGATTAGTCTTCTTTTTAGAGCTTGTCAACTTCAGAATTGCCCATTCATCCTCTCTTATAAACCATACAATATACATGTTTGGTATTCCAGGTTTAGAAGTGACAACTCAATAGTTTTAATCAGAGGAACTCATGTGCAAGTTTTCTTCATCATTAATATGACAGAACCCATTATTCACATTGGATTGGTATTTATAATACTGAGATTGATGATATCCAGGTTTTCCACAGTAAAAGCATAAGAGACATGTTAAAATTCCTCCAGTTTGAGCTTCTCCTCAGCTACTAGAACAATAGCTTGTCATTAGTGAACTGTTTTGAGCCACATAAGAATTAACTAATTGCAGTTGGATGTTCTCTTGTACTGTTGCAGAATTAGTAGTCACATTTGTTGTATAATTTAATATGGGTTTCAGAGGCTCTTCTCTCTGCAGCATATAGTACTGATCAGAATTCCCTTGTATCTGATTTAACTGTACTCTCATGGCCAATGCCAAATTTATAAACTCATTAGTCATCTTTTCAATTACAGCTTCAATATTAGTGCTCTCAGAGCTCTTGGCTTTGGATTTTGATTCAGATTCTTCAGTCTTCACAGAACTAGCTGTTTTCTTCAGAGCCTTAACTGTAGAAGATTTGTTAGCTAATTAATATCACTCACCAAGCTTCTCTATTTTCTTCTGCTTCATTTCATCTTCTTTAAAGATCTTCTTATTCTCTTCATACTAATTAATCAAATTCATGATCACTCAAACAACCTTTCTAAAATTAATAGGTGACATATTGTCTGAAAGATTGAGCTTTATCTTGTCAATAATCTTATTCTGGAGCTTCTCAGACAGCTCCTGAAGAAATCAAGACACCTCAGTGAATTCATCAAGTCTTCCATTGACTTGTACTGTACTGGCAATAGTAGTGTATTCTTGAATATAGACATGAATGTTGCTATCTCAAGTATGTGATTTCTTTGTAATTACTTGAAGATAATTCTGATAGTAAATCTTGTAAGTAATGTTCTGATCACAAAATTTATAAATAATCTCTTTAGAGAATACTTCCCAATTACCTTTCTTGTAGTCTTCTAAGGTCTTCATCCATTCTCCAATCCATGTAACACAGTATCTAGCTAACTGTTTGATAATGTTCTTAGGATCAATTACCTCATAATTCTTGCACATTTGATAAAACCTTTCAATAAACAAGATAGCATCTCTGCCATCAAACCAAGATGCATTTGCCATGCCAGAGAAAGGCATAGAAATGTGGGAGTGAACCACAATTCTCCTGTTCTCATCTTGTGACATAGTCACATACAATTGTGTAGTATCTTCAACCATAGTTGATTCTGATCCTGATTTCTTGATTTCTTGATCTTTGGTCATGTCACACAGTATGTTCTGTTGTTTCTTAATGATTCAATATCTTTCCAAAAAACCTATTTATCAGGCAAGCTTTAGATAAGAGCCATTCAAATCTAAGCTCCCTAATCTTATTTCTAAACAAAAATCTGATTAGTACTGTATTTCTAGTCCATAAGATCTTATCTTGAAATAGTGTATTGCTTCATGTGTCTCAGAATTTGTTTTTCTTTCTTGGCAGTCATCAAATCACTGCATCATCATCTTCAGGTCTCAGCTTGATCATCAAATGAAGCAGAGTACAATGGAATACCTTGTCAAAGTAGACAAGTTGGTTGAAATGGTGAGAGCACAAGAAGGATGAAAAATCACAACATAGTAAGAATGATAATGGCTGAGTAGTAAGAACAGAGAAGCATGCCTTAACAGACACCTAAGCTTATAAGAAATAATAGTACTAAAAAGCCTGTACTAACACAGGCAGCTCTAATGAGGAACAGTAGCAAGCTTTATGAACAAGAAATCTTCATATTCTCTAACTAATAACCAAACTAGCAATAAAGAATGAGTGTGTAGAAAAGTACAAAGGTGCATGAAGGTATTGAGTGAGATGCAGAGGCTATGGGTGGTTTATATAGCTCAGAGATAGTAGCTGAGGGGTTTTGTGCCTCAGACCAGAACAATCTTTGTCCTAATATGGTACTGGAATCCCCACTACAATGCTTGAACAAGTAGTTACTCTTTCTCTTTCAGTACTGGTCTTGAATGACAATTCTACATCACAAAGAAGCAAGTCACAAAAATGTTGATGTATTGTCACAACTGCCAATAATACCTGATCTATGTGGTGCTTTCTACTTGATAATAACATTATTTGAGCTTAGTGACAAACTCAAGACTGATATTAAATACATCTTGCCTCAGGATTCTTACTTCTGCAAGATCTACTTAAAGATCATGACTGCTGACAGTGATAAATATCACAACTTTAGAATTATCCCTGAAACAAAACTTCTTCTTTTTACAGAAAATGAGATGCAGTGAATATGCATTCTGAAATAATTACAAAAGTCTTTTCTCCAGCAAGTCCACAACAACACCACTTATAATGGTGTTGAGAGAATCTTTGCAAGACTGCACAAGATAATCTATACCCCAAACTTACATGACTCAGTAACTAAATATATTAACCACTGTCCTGTGTGTAGAGCTGCAAAGACAATTTCATATATGCTTTATAGCTGACTACAACTGATACAAAGCCCAGACAGACCATTTGCTTGTGTAGTGATTGACTTTATTATGTATTTACTGAAATCAAAGTATAATAGTAATGTGCTCATGTCAGTTACTGACAAATTCTCCAAGTAGATTCAGAACATTCTCAGTAAGACTACTGACTCTGCAGCAGTATGGGGTCATAAATTCTGAAAGAAAATTATTTGCAGCTGGAGTTGGCCAGAACAAATAATTTCAGACCAGAATAAATACTTTTTGTTCAACTTCTGGCAGACAGTCTTTCAATACAGAAAAGTTGATCTTTGTTTTACAGCTGCTTATCATCCAGCCACAGATAGACAATCAGAAAGAATGAATTAATTACTTGAAATAGCAATAAGATATATCATTATTGGTCACAACTATAAAGAATGGAAGAATATTATGCTGAAGATTAAATTCAATCTAAATATAGTACACTCTGCAGCCATCAGCTGTTTTCTGTTCAGACTGCTGTACAGCATTGAATCAAATTTGATGATTCTGCTGCCTCAACTGAACACTGATAAGGCCAGAAATGTCTTTATTAATGCCAGAGACTCTATTTGAAAGCAAGTAGCAGATGTTCTGAAGCTATCACAAGCTAGAATAACTATCTACTATGACTCACACCACAAGCTGATGAAATTAACAGGCAGAGCCTACTTTTAAGTTGTCCACAGAGAAAAACATGACTACATTCTACCAGAGAATTCCATAATCTCACCAATCAAGATCAGACTGTTCAAGATTCTAAATAAAGTTGGACCACTGGTGTATTAATTGGACCTACCACCGAGGTACAAAGATATTCATCCAGTTATTTCAATAGTCCACCTTGAACCAGCAGGAGATGATGATTCATTTGAACACCAGCTACCACCTCCTCCAACCCTCCTCATTAATGAGAATGAGCATCAAGAGGTGGAATGTATAGTTGATGATTGTCTTGACAGCTCTGGAAAGCAATACATGCAGGTGAGATGGCAATCAATGCCTTCTGAGAATGATGACTGACATCCACATGATGAACTTCTTGAAGATTGCAAATTACTAGTTAAAGAGTATGAGAAGAAAAAAAAAGGTCAACAGTGTACTTAGTTCACACACTGGGACAGCACTTTTCAGGCTGGGGCAGATGTCACATGTATTAGTCAGCATAGTTAGCTTCTAGTTATAGTTCAGGAGATCCGACAGTCTCCATAATAGGATCATCATCTTGCCACTCATTACAAGCAGTGCTCGCGGCAAGCAGTTTCTGTCCGGGGTTCGGGCCGTTGCTCCCGGAGCGGGAACTCGGTTCGGGACGACAGCGGCTCTGAAACTCCGGCCAATACGTGAGTCGCCATCCACCTCTTCTCGCTCGAATCTGTATCTAAATCCGCCCTGGCTAAAAACCGATCGGACTGGCTGCGGCACCTTTGATGCGCCATTCTCAGTTGGCAAAAATGAAGGCACCCCTAAATGATCACACATACGCCACTTCACCAACTATCCTTTTGCTGAGCGGACTCACCGATGACTGGAAAAAAGATATTCCGTGAATGCGGGAGTCTCGCAGGTTTGATGTTATGGCCGCGAGTGAACCAACCCAACGCCCGCTCCTGACCATGCCCACCAAGCGTACGCTCCGGGGCGAAATCACCTACTCCCAGGCCAAAGAGAGGGATGGTAATGTCGTACACGAACTGTCTTACACGGGCGAGCAGGCAAAGTTCTACACGCGCATATACCGAAATCGTGATGCGATTTCCGAACTCGTTGCCCATCACCTCGGCATCTGTCCTGCAGCTTGTCAAGTGGAAGAACCAAAGAAATGGATGAGTGGCAGCTTCAACCTCTGTGTCCCTGTCAACGTCAATGCGTTACGACGCGTGATCATGCGCTTTCCTCTCCCCTACCGCGTTGGCGAGAACTTTCGTCCTGGAAACGCCGATGAGAAGGTGCGTTGCGAGGCTGCAACCTATGCTTGGATCAGCCGGGAGCACCCATCAATTCCAATACCGCATTTATATGGATTTGCTCTTTCAACCGGCCAGCTTGTGAGAACCTTTGTCTTTTTCTACTTTCCCTTTTTGTTAATTTGTTGTTAATAAACTCTCCAGTTTACTTCGAGAGAACATCTACCGTTTCTCACACAGCTATGGCATTCCCTAAAATGCACATTTCGAAAGCTACTCCGACTTCCCCTTCCATCTCGACTGGTTCAACATCCAACCGCTATCCCCAATAAACTTGGCCCGTATTTGCTCATAGATTTCATCGAGGAGACGGATGGAAGGATGCTCTCAGATGACTGGCATGACAAGTATGATGATAATCAAACACTACGGATGAATTTGTTTCGAAACCTTGCAAATGTCATCCTTACCCTCAGCCACAAGCCCTTGCCAAAAATCGGATCCTTTACAATTGATAACAATGGCTTTCTGCGACTGGAAAATAGGCCTCTCTCAGCGGATTCCACAATTGTGGAAAACGAGGAGACAACTCTTGATATTCCCCGAGACCGCGTGTACCATACAGTCGACTCATACGTTAATGATCTCCTATCCGTCCACGACAACTACTTGCGCTACCAGCCGAATTCACTCGCTCGTGTGGCGGATTGTGTCACTCAAATGTCAGCATTATCCATGATGCGTGCTCTATCAGCCCGGTTTCTCGAGCCTGGTCTGAACCATGGACCATTTTATCTTAACTTGACTGATTTGCACGCAAGCAACATTCTTGTTGATGAGGACTGGAATATCAAATACCTGATTGATCTTGAGTGGGCCATTGCGCAACCATTGGAATTCATGCAGCCGCCTTACTGGTTAACTGGCGAGACTGTGGATGAAATAAGCCCTGATAAATACAGTGAGCGTCATAAGGAGTTTATGGAAGTGTTCAAGGAGCAAGAGCGCAAGATTCACCCGCCTCACTCCATACAGTGTTCCTCTGTCATGAAGAGGTCCTGGGACACTGGTGCTTTCTGGTACATTTTAGCGCTGCAGTCCCCATCTGGCCTCAGCAAACTCTTCTATGCACGGATCCAGCCCCAATTTACAACGGTAGACATGGACAGAATTCCGTTTCTCCTGACAACATATCAACATTGGACGCACGACGCAGCGGGATTTCTGAAGACGAAGGTCAAAGATAAGATGGAGTATAACGAGCGGCTTCAACAGATATTCGGGGTGGAGGACAAAGCGCTCAACGAGGGTCTCAAAAATGACCTAGATAGGTTTGAGCGTGCAAAAATATCATTGGGATGAGCCGCCATACCTCTTCTCCCATATTTTCCCTCGATTATCTTGGATTATTTCCACCAGTGTCGCCTGTTTTCCCTGCCGCCGCGATAACGTCTTTATCAACAGCTCTTTTTACTGCGTTATCCAATTCCTCTGCCCCTCTCGCAAACCTAGCTTGTTGGGCAGCTTTCCCCGAGGTGGAGAGCTGCTTTCGTTCGTTTGCGTTGGCTTTGATTGCCTCGAAAATAACAGGATCATAGTCTGCGGACGACACAGAGTCCCGTTTTACAGAGTCTTGTTTATTCTCGGCGGACATGATATGATGTAGGCAACGGGTGGAGACGGACGATGTTCTTCCCAATTCTAGGGATCAAGAGTTATTTTAGTGTTCGGGCTTGTGATATCTTAAATAGTCTTACCCGGCAGCGTTGTAATGCAGTTTTCTCAGAACTCCGTATGGAAGGGCCTGGTATTGCTAGAATGTGGATGAAGATTGAGGGGTTGAATCAACTGTGAGACACTGATATTTTAGATTGAGATGCTTGCCTGCACCTTGACCATTTCTGAGAATGAGGGGTAGGTCGCCAGGCAGCAGTACCACACATTGTAACACCATTTATGCGTCCTGCGCAGTTACCACTGGTCCTTAAAACCGAGGCGGTAGAGGCATTGGAAACGATCTGTGGCGAGGGAGCCAATGTACGAGCCAACAGCAGCATACCAATATGATTGCATGGCTGAGGGTGCTTTATGCAGTGAGACTTGTCAAGTAGAATATCTCCAACCGAACTTTCGACTGCTCCACCCTCGCTTTTTCTGTCCAAACATGGTTGATATTGGCTGACTCTGATCTCGGGGCTATTCTTACCAACAAAGCAGAGCTGGGCAAACATTAAATTATGAAAGAAGTTATAAGACCCTGTTACTCATCTATAATTTATTTATTCAGAGTCTTGAGCTTCTATCTAAAGTTGTTGTTGACATATCAGGCAATAAAAGTCGAGATTCAGGTGGGAATTCCGGCTGCCACTCTTGTTCGCGCACCCTAACCCCTTTGGGTTTAGCGAGCACGTGACCTCACGTGATCACTCTCAGTCTGACTCTTCTCCGCTGCCAAGCTCCATCTTACTGTAAGAGATGAGATCTCACTAGCCTCTTTTGTAGCAGCACAACAAAGCTTAGATTTCCATGCTCCAACAGGTTATAAGCTTCTTCACTGTGTAATTGATCTTCTAAATTGAATAGTAAAGCAATTATAAAGTAAGAGAAATTTAATTTTATCTTTTGCTGGTGATCAGTTCTTGAAGAATCTATAAAGCTACTAACTATATGCAGAAGCTATAGAAACTACAGAATGTGAATTCAATAGATCTGTATGCTCTCACTAGTTTCATTCAAAGAATTGTGAGATGAGAAGTAAGATGAAAACTCTGCATTAGATCAAAGAAGATTCAAGCTGCTATACTGGAGACTAACTATATAGAGACTAGTGTCTTGATACTGCTCTCTAGACTTTAGTATATTATGCAAGTATTACTGTTTGGAGTTCTGCTAGATAATTCAAGTTCTCACTCATCTCATTTCTCAGATGTTGAATCTCTTCTTTTAAAATCATGCTCTTGTTCTATATCAGCTCTCACTCTCTTCTCTTGAATACTGATATGTTAACTTTCAGCAGTGGCAGTATTGATGGCTGCATTAAGCTGGCTATAGACTGCATGTGATGTTGGGTTATCAGAAAGCACAGCACACAGAGTGTTTGTAAGGATTTGCCCGCGAACCCCTTTCATGGATGAACAACACCCACGAGGGCCCAGGGCCTCAGCTTGCGAGCTGTTGGGAGTACATGTGTCCTCACAAGGCACTAAGTCATGTGCTCATGAGCACACATAAAAGGCCACCACTGCATGAACCTCTTGTTGGGAGCCAGTGGCAATCTTGTCTACAAGTTATACATAGCTGCCAATACCAGACCTTTTACCTCATGTACTCTTTTCTATGTACAATTCCTTCTATAGATTTATTGTCATGCTGATCCACATGTATGATCCTCACAGTGTTTATAGTAGAAGCTAATGCCAGATAATTTAAAGCATCAGATTCAGATATAGTAGATAAGATGATACCAGAAAAGTTAAAGATAGGAACCAAGAGATTTTAATTAAGATTTGCTATGGTGAGATTTCACAAAAGAGTAACAATAGATAGGTTTTGCAAAGATATCAAGAATTACAAAGCTATTATAGACAATAGTATTATTTTCTGATGGACAAATTGATGGAGGACTTGTATGCTTGTCATTTGCTAAGCTACCTAAAGAGGAATCTCAGCTAATCTATATAGGTCATGTGAAAGAGGTGCTAGTTGGATTATCTAACACCTCCCTATGCAACAAGCTCCAGCAGTGAGCAAGAGCCACAAAGATCCAAAGCTTCCAAATCTCTCAAATCTGCAATAAAAATTAATTACAAAATCCAGATTTATTCCTTCTTTAGGCTTAGCTTCATTCACCACAGTGTGGTATTTTCACCAGCTTCACTGATAAACCTTCATATTTTCCTGTATTAACCTGTCACCCCTATCATGCTCACAAATTGAGTGTAGAGATTCATTGCAAGAGTCTTTATAAGCTCATCAGCTTTATTTACATCACTTTCAATGTGCTTGATTGAGATTTCATTCTTTTGCATCCAGTCTCTTAGTATATGATGCTGAATCTCAATATGGTGTGCTCTTCACATTATAGCTTTAGCTTTAATTAAGTCAATAGCTTTCTTGTTGTCAACACTTAATTTTGAGCTTCTTAGTCTTGCTGAGCCTTTACTAATTACTCCAGCATCTATCAACAGGTTATTGATTCAAACCAGTTCACAAGCAGCTTCACTAGCTGCCAAATACTTTACTTTAGTTATTGATTTCAAGACAGACATCTGGTACTGTAATTTTCATGATATTGGAGCTCCATTCATGGTAATAATGTAGCTGCTGGTGGATTTGTACACAGGGTCAGCTCCAGCCCAGTCAGAATCTGAACTGGTCACTGGTTTTAAGCCTTCAGAATCTATATCTCTTTTGAAGACTATTTCTTTCGATTTTGTGCTCTTGTGATAGTGTAGGATCTGCTTGAATACTGCCCAGCTTTTTCTATTGGGTCTGCTGTTGAATCTCACCAGATAATTGACTGCAAATGCAATATCCAGCCTCATACATGTAACTAGAAACTGTAGAGAGCCCAGGCCTTTTCTGTAATTTGTAGGTGTAGCCTGCTCATCAACTCCATCTTTAAGAATTTGATCTGGTGTGAATTTGATGCTTATTTCTTTCTTTATTGGTGTTTTGGAAGATTTGCAGTCTTTCATTTCATATTTAGTTAGTAGATTCTTGATATACTGTTTCTGGTTCACAAAAAGATCTTCATTTGGCTGCTTTTGAATCTGCATGCCTAGATAACAGCCTTGTTCTGTAATCTTCTTGATCTTGAAGTGTTCCTGAAGCTTCTTGATAAGCTATTCTATTTTGGCTTTGTTGGGGCCCATTATATGGCAGTCATCAACATGTAGAGTTAGATAGATTTGCTTTCTCTTGTAGTAGAGTAGGCCTGCATTATATAGAGAGATCTGGAATTCTAGAGATTTCAGATAGTCAGTAGCTGCTTAATATCAGAGTCTAGCAGCTTGCTTCAATCTGTAGAGTTCCTGGCATAAGAGCCCTACTAGATTACCCCACCCATGCTTGAATCCAGTGAGTAGTTGAATGTATACATGTTTGTCCTCTGGAAGAGTGCTATTTAGGAAGACTGTCATGAAGTCAAAGACTCTGATCTTCCAGTTCTTGGCTGTTGAGATAGCAAAGAAGACTCTTACTGTAGGCTCACTAACAACTGCTGTATAAATCTTCTTATAGTGAACATCTTCTTATTGTTCAAACCTGTATATGATCCAATGGGCTTTGAATTGTACTGTACCACCTGTGTTGTTGAGCTTTCTATTGAATACCTATTTGCTAGAGAGGATCTGCATTTTGGGTTTCTTCTTGACTAGAATTCAGGTGTCTTTCTCTTATAATTTGAAGACTTCAACATCTAGAGCCTCTTTTCAATAAAGCCACTCTTCAGAGTGTTTGACTTCAGTAATGGATTTTGGTATATCTGTATGTGTGCTAAGCACTGGAAGCTCAGCTCTATTTGTTTCCTCATCTTTCTCTGTAGTATCTGAGAGAATTTCTTGCTCTTCATCCAGATATGTGAGCTCTAGAGTCTTTAATTTACTGTCTGTAAGCTTTTTCATGATTTCTGGTTTCTTCTTCACAAGATAAGCTAGTAGCTTGTTGTAAGAATTTGCCCACAAACCCCTTACACAGATGAACAACACCTGTGAGAGTTCAGGGCCTCAGCTCATGAGCTGTTGGGAGTACATGTGTCCTCATGAGGCACTAAATCATGTGCTCACAAGCACACATAAAAGGCCACCACTGCATGAACCTCTTGTTGAGAGCCAGTGGCAATCTTGTCTAGAGGTTGTACATAGCTGCCAATACCAGATTTTTTACCTCACATACTCTTTTCTATGTACAATTTCTTGTATAGATTCATTGTCACACTGATCCACATGTATAATCCTCACATTTTGCCACTCTTCTTTAGTGATGCCTGACAATGATATTAATATGAAGAAGCCAACTTCCTGAAGCTTATGAATCTGGAACACCAGCAGAAAACCTATCTGAAGAACAAACTCAAGTTTGTGAGGAGATGACAAATCTTGAAACCATCTCAGCTCTCTTAACTGTAGATGAAACTGAAACTAGTATTATAATCTCAGAAAGAGAGTCTACCTTAGCATCAAGAGATAAAATCCAACAACTTTGCGAGAAAACCAAACTACTAAAGAGAATGGTGAAATGGCAAGAAAAGTTGAATACTCTCCAGGTCACTCAAAAGCACTTGTAAAGTAAATTTCTTGATATAATTATCTTCAACCCAACATCTGTGAAGTGTCTGTCAGTTTTAAGATTACTACAATACATGAAGCTCTATCAGACTGGCTTCTATACAAAATATCAGTAATTCACCTCCAGTATTGAATCTACTTATAATGTGAGCAAATTGAATGATGAGAAAATTCTTGTGTATGCTCTTACAGAACTTGATTATATTGAAAAAGATCTCTGGAAGATTTACTGTAAAAACAACTCATTAAAGAATAACTGAAATGATCTCAAGAAATTTCTATATGTGAGGCTAGAAGATTCAGTAAACTGCATACAAAACTCTTGATAAGTAATCTTTAATCTTTATAAGAGTTTGAATGAAACTGATCAAGCCTACTGCCAATAATTTCTAGAGCTCACAACAGAAGTTGGTGAAGAATTTGAAAGCTTTGAAAAAATAAAGAAGAATCTATATATAAGAAACTTGAATGAGCCCATGCAAGCTAAACTGGATGAACAGCTGGAA